ACAAAGTTAAAAGGTTGCTGGAATTGAAGAAATCCGTCCTAGAATGGTCAAAGCGTTAGGCATGGAAAACAGGGCGCCGGCATACATTGTCTGTCAAACTGCAACGGTAATGAGGAGTACACGAGCATACTGGAGAACGGAGGTTGTAGTATTTCTGTCCAATGAGGTAGATAATAGGATGTGCTATGGTATTTCATCGTAGCATAACCATACTGAACCTCGGTGGTGAAGTCAACGGAAAGATGCTAGAACCTAAATACTTATGAAAAGATGACTCTAAGATAGAAGGAGAACAGCGTGGGCTTGCTCTTCGGCCGAACCACATATGATCAGACATTCACCTTAAGGCAGATTGTTAACAAATCGTGGGAATTTGCCCATTCCGCGTATATGTGCTTTGTTGACGTAGAGAAAGCTTATGACCTGAACCCGCGCAACCGTCTCTGGACATGTCTGCTAACATATTGGTTCGGCGGCCAGTTGCCACGGGCCATCGGATCACAATTCTGATAACAGGTGCTGCGTCAGAGTAAATGGCGTTATGTCGAAACCTTTCAGCATATGCGTGGTCTCCGCCAAGGCTGTGTTCTGTTCTCTCTTTCCTGTTTGTGTTGCAAATGGATAGAATAGCCAGGCGTAGCCAATGCAATGACTGTATTAGTGTTGGAGGAGTCGAGACGAGAATGTTGCTGTTTGAAGACGCCCTTGTTTTGTTGACATCTTCTGAAGTTGATCTCGAGCGCTCTCTACACTATCTCCGAATGCGATGTGGCCGGCATGCACGTGAATGTACCTAAAACGAAAAGCAGAGTGCATTCCGGTTCTCCTACTCGTTGCTCTCTTCAGATGGATGGAGAAGCAGTGGAACAGGTCAAGAAATTCAAACACTTCGTGGTTGTGTTTGTTACTGATGGAAAGTTTAAGGAAAATATCGACCAACATTAAAGTAGCATTGGTGTTTTGAGTGAACTATTCCGAACCGTTGAGACTAAAGCAGAACAGATTCTAAAAACTAAGCTGTCGGGTTTCGATCGATCGTTATCCCCATGCTTACTCATGACCATGAGTCATGGTCCATGACGGAAGAGCTTCAATCCCGGGTACAAGCTAGTGAAATGGGCTCCATAATACTTACATTCGGGAGAGCCTTTGTGTAGAGCCTCTGCTTCTTCAGACTGAGAAGTCACAGCTGCGATAATTTGAGCACGTATTGCGAATGCACCCAGAAAGGCAGGCTAATGAACTACGTCTTGCCCAGCCATAAGGCCCAGAAGGCCCAGAGGAGAACCAGAATTTTCGTGGTAAAAATATATGGATGGAGTCTGTTCTAAACTAAAGTTTTCTGCTGCCGAAACTCAGACCCTGACGCGGGATCGGGAATATTTGAAGAACTGTCTTACGTGTCTGCTTCCACGACCCGGCAGGAGAAGCGGTCATGGAAGATGAAGACATGTTGTGCAGTTGTTCTACTCGACTGCTTTCCCACGTCCAGTTTTACTGTGGTTGCTTGTGCGGCAGTTAATCGAGGTCATTTTGAGTTATTAACGGAAGATGATATGGGTAGCCTTATCTCAAAAGAAATGGTCTGTTCAGTGAATTAACTGATTTTTACCTGTTACATTTCTTCCTCAGACAATACCATTTTATTTTTTCAGGTTCAAATCGTAGCCGGTTTTAAGTATTTTTTAACCTCTTCCTTATCTGCCGTTGGAATTACCATCGAGGATAGTAGGCACTGGCGAAAGTATAGGTAAGTGTGGCAGGAGAGAAGTATGGTGATGTACGTTAATTCCTGATCCTCTGTGGTAGGTGCGATAATTTGTTTCAAGCCATGATACGGTTTGACATCGGATGAAAAAGCTACTTGTTTTACATCTTCAAGGCTGATTTTCTAAAATGAAGAGACTTATTCTGCAAGCCTCGTGGACGATGGGCCACGGGCCACAACTCGCATTAATTCACCAAGAATATTCGGAGTAAAATATTTTTGATATTTCATTTTCTGAACGGCGAATGATAGCTCATTAACAAGTTAGATGGAAAAGGCATTAGAGTTATGTTTCCTGAATGATATTGTATACGTTAGATATTGCATCAGTCACATTAGGTTTGTGAGATATGAAAAATTCAGGTAATAAAGCTTTAAAATGTCCACTCCCTCGCCTCTCTGAACAGAAAGTTGTACTTTTATTGTTACATATGAGATCGTGAACTTGCGCAGCCGATCTTTATATTTAATTTTTCAAAACGATTCTTTGGCTTCAACCTCAGAAACTCTTCGAAGCAGACTAACATTGAATCAAAAGCGAAGAATAGCTATCAGAAAAAAAATCAGCTTTTCTGGTCAAAAAATTAATCTGTGAAACCGAACAGTAAAAGACATGCTCGACTAACGTTAAGATATGCATTTCACCGGTTGTCCACAAGAGTACGTAATAAGGATTTCATAGCTATGAACGAATCTGCCCCTTTCTGATCACTCTGAGGATAACTTTTGAGGTGTGGGTTAAAGTGTAAATTGTTTCTGACTTTTTAATTAAGCGCTATTTCTGACTTCGGTCTGTCGTTTATAAAGTTCTATCTATCACTTTACGGAACAGTTCATACGGCACGACAGTATCCATTATTTATCCGATATGCTTTCGGATAATCGCAATTCAGCTAGTGTTGGAACAGTCTTCTGTTCGATCAGGGAGATTGATGCGGCGTTGCCTTCTTCACATACCATAATAATAATTTGTAATCGATATGATTGTCGGATGAAGTGTTCAATTCGAAAAGATAAACTTATGCGGCCATTTAATAGGCAAGAATTTGTGATCTGAGATATACCTTTCCGCGTTCCATGGTAGTCTTCGTGTGTACTGCTCCGCGAGTTAGTATCCATGAGAAAAAATTGTATTTGGAAATGAGAGAAGATTGATGAGTTTTCTTGAAATGGTCATTGCTGCAGATGATTGACGAATTGACAAAGTCCAAAACGAAAAACGTTTTATCTTCGAAAATCAAAACAAAAACAACGCCAACAGTATTAACATTGGTACATGTAGAAGTCACTGAGGAAAAAAGACATGAGAATTTCGTCAGCAAGCGCTGCTCTTTTGTACATCTGAGCCGAATCCCACAGTATCTTGGATCATGAGAGATTCCGTCGTGTCTTCACAGACCGTTGTGTTCACTGCAACCTCTGTCCCCTTTGGACAGTTGTTCACTAGCAAAGAAATTTTCAATCAAGAATTTCAATCAATTACCCTCTACTTACTGCATCTGCGCTTGTAGACGAATAACGGCTCAGCACAGACACAGAGTTTTTTACCCTTCAGACCAACACACTGCGACAAACGACAGTTCAGCTGGCATTCAAGAGTCTCGGAACAAGATTCTCCTGGAGCTTTAGCTGCAATAGACACAAATCTTAGAAAAATGATATAAATATATGCATTTATACTAACGAGCAATGCAAGCATGCTGGATGCATTTTTCGTGATCCATAACGCTGCATTCAGATGTCACGTTGCAAGGTTTCCAGTCCAGATTCGTTTCCGTGTCTATGTCTGGCGAATCATTTAGACTGCTGGCCCAGATATCAGCTAATGAATCTATAAGAGATAAAGCATTATCAACAACATGATTTTTATTTAGCAAAGAAACCGGTTTATTGTAAAACAGAAGCTAATATTGCAAAATATTGCAATGGATTTTATAGGGCAACTACAAAGCCATTGAGAACATTAACAGTGACAGCAAGCACTTCACGTTACCTGCTTCAACCCAATATTTACTGACATACTTCGACGTAGGGCAAACCCATATTTGACTGTTATGTGAAAGGCAGAAAGCATGTCACTTTTTCGAGCATCCCTGGTGATGATTAAAGCACAATACATCTAGCCAGTAAAACTGGAGTTGCATGAAGTTGTTTTATTACTGGAACACAGTAAAGTGAATAGAATGCTAAAACCCTTTTGAAGCAACTGAGATAAAGAACTCACTCAACTTATATGAACTATAGGGCATGGGAGATTTGCAGCGTGGTTGCACAGCAGCAAAGAGGTCGGCGTTTAATTCCGGAAGTGTCGGTCCTAATCCACATAAGTACGATTTCTCTTGAACAAGGAAATAACCCAAGTTGCTTTGCTGCACCCGGCTGAGAAGCCGGTGGCAAGCCGTTGGCTTACGAACAACCGGGTAGAGTGGGATTCTAGCGCCGTTATGCTAAAATGAGTCCTGCTGGTCGTGCAAGCGTCCTTGCTAGCGCACTTCACATTGAACTATCTAATAACTAATTATTCAACACAATTAATAATCAGCACGATATGCAACTCAAACTTTTTTTGATCTCTTAAGATATGATATGTCAAACGTTGGCGAAGAACCGATATTAAGCTTATTTTGCAATAAAAGGAGCAAAAACATCTGAAACGGGACTAATATCGAAGGTATCAGTATTTTGGCAGTTTGCTTGTAAATCCACGAGGTCAATGTGCTTTCATGTATCAAACTTTTGGCTTTGCAGGCTTGAATATCTGCGCTCTTGCCGTGAGTTGTACCTAACTACCAGGAAGATCTTTTCTGACCTCTAGGCGGCAGGCCAACCCGTTTAAATCCGCAGCATTCGGCGTCAGCCTCCAGTATGCCGCTATTAAAGAGCTGCCCCTCGGTTTCAACATCCGTTGCCATCACCGGGATCTGTTCAAACCATCGTGGGATGTTTGCAAATTTCGCTCTCGT